TGTAGTTTTTCAGAGGAAATCAACTAAAAACACAGGTACTTGGAAGAAAGGCAGAGGCATTCATCCTGATACCAAGATAAGTCTGAGAGAAGACACTAGTAGGTTAAGCAAAACATAGACATAGGACTTTATAAGGCGACAAACTAGCTCACAGGGCTGGGTGTGTGTTTCCTGCTGTTGGGGTCAGGACTAGTATCAGAGCAGAAACTGCCATTCCCAGGAAGCTCCACTAAAAAAAGGAGAAATGGAAAAGGTATGGCAAACTCAATCCACGCAGGAAAGACCTAGAATAGGGCCCCTTGCCTCTTTTGATTACCTGAGAACACAGGACATTGCAGCCTGGCAACAAATTTAGCTGGTGCACAAGGGTGAGTGACTGCTCCTTCCGTACTCTCTGCTCATTTTTTTTTCTTTCCTTTCCTTTCTTTTTTTTTTTCATTTTCTTTCCCTGCCAAGCACCTTAAATGCTAACTCAACCTTTAGTGACAATAAGGTTAGGGACTCTACAGGGAAAAAAAGATCTCAAATCAAAACTTACCCCAGTTTGTCAGATTCTAGGCAATGTGTAATGCCACTGTATTGCTAATTGTAATACTTCAGCAGTGGTGGCATATTGCAATTAGTTGTTCTCCCTTCTACAACAGTACTGTGACCATCTGGGGTGATAAAAGTTACCATAGTCAAGTAGCAAAGGATTGGGGGTTGAGCCAAATAAATGGCAGCATCTCATCCTTAATTAATTGGGAAGGTATGATCTTGGGACAGACACAAAAACCAAAGACCTCTTACACATAAAAGACATTTCTGATGAACAGATATTTCCTAAGGAGGTTTCAATATTAGCGATAAAGCTACCTACCCTAAGAAGTATACAGGCATCAACACAGGAAAAAAATACAATTAAGTTTAAAAATACAGAAAGACAAGACACAGAAGCAAAACCAAACTCCCGATTTCCAGCCCACCCAGCACAAGTCCAAGGGACAAGAGACAGAAAAAAAATGGAGGCCACCTATCTGAAATTTCTGAAATGATAGCAATAGAAGTTCAAACCCATATCAAGAAGACAGAATGAGCTCCTATGAACAACCTAATGTTTTTTTCTTTTTGGAATTTTTTAAAATCAGATTTTATTGGTAGATTTTAGATATACATAATGATCACATTCATTTTCACTGTAGAGAATTTGTACCTGCACATGAAATAACTTGTTTTTCCCCCATTCTCCTAGCCTTCCTTCGATATTTCCTCCCTCTCCATTTTTTGTTTCCATGTTCCCCTTCTTTTCTCATTTCTTTTACTTTTCCCTTCTCTCTTTTTCCCCTCCCATCTCTTTTCTTTTGCTTCCCATTTGAACATTTTCTTCCTATTTCACAATGCCTATTATACATTTCAATCCTTATTTACACTTTTGGCTTCTCACACCAGAGAAACAATGCTGTATTTACTTATGTGTGTCCAATTTATTTGATTTAAGTGTATGGACTCAAGGAGCATCCCATTTTCCTAGAAATGTCTTCAGTGTATCCTTCTTTATGTCAGAGTAGTACCCCACTGTATAAAAAATCCTAGATCTTCTTTATTCATTTACCAGTTGATAGGCATTTGGATTTTTTCCAAGATTTTGCTATTACAAACTATGCCACTATAAACATAAGTATGCATATATCACTGTGGTATGATGCTTTTAATTCTTTTAGGGAGATATCAGGTGGGAAATAGCTGGGTCAAATGGAACCTGTAGGAATTTTTTCAGGAATCTCCACACTGGGCTGGGGATGTAGCTCAGCAGCACAAGTGCCTGCCTGGCAAGCACAAGGTCCTAAGTTTGATTCCCAGTAAAAAAAAAAAAATTCATACAGGAATCTCTACACTGATTTCCACAGTGGTTGCACCAGTCTACATTCCCATCAACAGTGGAGAAGTGTTCCTTTTTCCCCATAACATACCTAGCATTTGTTATTGGTTTATTTCTTTCTGGGGTGAGAAAGTGTTAATTTGCATCTCTCGAATGGCCAGTGATATTGAACATTTTTTATATATTTATTTGCCATTCATGTTTCTTCATCTGAGGTGTGTGTTTATTTCAGATGCCCACTCCATAAATAAGCATCTGATATGAACAACCTAATGTTGAATCTCAAACTTCTAGAAAAAGAAAAACAAATTGAGCCAAAAGCTCACATGTGGGAAGAAAGTATAAAGATCAGAACAAAAATTAATGCAATTGTGACTAAGAAAACAATACAAAGAATCAATGAATCATAGAGTTGGTTCTTTGAAAGATTAAATAAAATTGATAAACCCTTATCCAACCTTATCAAAAAAAGGGAAGAAAAGAATCAAATTCAGGCAATTAAGAACAAATAAGGTGAAATCACAACAAATCCTGCAGAAATACAGATTATCAATACCTACTTCAAGAAACTTTATTCTAACAAAATGGAAAATACAGAAGCATTGGACAGATTCCTAGATACATGTGAAATACCAAGGCTGAATCAAGAAGACATAAAAATTCTAAATAACCCAATATCAGCCAATTGAAATTGAAAATGTAATTACAAACCTACAAATAAAGGAAAGCCCATGTCCTGATGGTTACACAGCTGAGTTCCACAAAAAATTTAGAGAGGACCTAATGCCATTACTCCTCAAAGTCTTCAATGAAATAGAAAGGGAAGCAATACTCCTAAATTCATTCCTGGAAGCAAGTACTGCCCTCATACAAAAACTAGAGAAGGAGCCAACCACAAAAAAAGAACTATGCACATCTCCCTAACTAACATAGATGCAAAAATTCTCAACAAAACACTGGCAAACAGGATGCAGCAAATCATTGAGAAGATTATACACCATGACCAAGTAGGTTTCATCCTAGTGATGCAGAGATGATTCAATGTATGCAAGTCAAAAAATGTAACATACCATATTAACAGAGCCAAGAACAAAAACTGTATGATCATCTCAATAGATGCCGAAAATATATTTGACAAAGCCCAACACTCATTCACAATAAAAACCTTTAGGAAATTGGAACCGGCAGCCTTTATCTCAATCTGATAAAAGCTGTCTATGACAAACTAACAGCCCACATCATACTAAATGGTCAAAAACTGAAAGCTTTTGCTCTAGAATCAGAAACAAGCTGAGGATGCCCACTGTCTCCACTCCTATCCATGATAGTTCTGGAAACATTAGCCAGGGCAATTAGACAGGAGAAAGAATTAGAGGAATAATGACAAGAAAGGAAGAAGTTAAATTATCATTATTTGCAGATGACATGATACACTACAGAGAAGATCTCAAAGCCTCCACCTAATGACTTCTAGCACTAATAACCAGATTCAGTAGAGCAGCTGGATAAAAAGTCAGCACTCAAAAACCAATAGCACTCCTGTACACAAATAAACTCACTGAGAGAGAAACTAGGGAAACAACATCTTTCACAATAGCATAAAAAATAAAATACTTATGACTCAATCTAACAAAGGAAGTAAAAGATCTTTATATTACAAACTACTGTACTTTGAAAAAGGAGATCAAAGAGTATGTCAGAAAATGGAAAGATATCTCTTGCTCTTGGGTAGGAAGAACCAACATAGTGAAAATAGCCACACTCCCCAAATTGCTATGGAGATTTAATGTACTCTTAATCAAAATAACATTAGCATATGTCACCAAATTACAGAAAACAAACAATCCTAAAATTCATTTGGAACTAAAAGAAATCTAGAATAGCAAAAGCAATCCTGGGCAACAAAGGCAAAACAGGGGTCATCACAGTCCCTGACTGGAAATAATACTACAGAGCTACTGTGATTAAAAACAGCTTGGTACTGGTGCGAAAACAGACCTGAGGATCAATGCAACAGACTAGAAGATGCAGAAACAACTCCCAAAGCACTCAGCCACTTAACCTTTGCAAAGTGGCTGAACATGTTAGCTGAAAGAAGGATAGCCTTTTTAATAAATGGTGCTAGAAAAACTGGCTTTCCACATGCCAAAGACTAAAACTAGACACATGTCTTTCATCATGCACTAAACTAAAAGCAATGGATCAAAAATCTAAATATTAAAACAGAAACACTAAATCTACTGGAAGATAGAATCGGTAAAATTCTGGGAGACATAGGTATAGGCAGTGACTTTATGAACAGAACCCAGATTGCACAAGAACTATCACAAAGAATCAACAACTGGGATCTCACCTTATTAAAAAGCTTTTGCACAGCAAAATAAAGTATCAGCATAGTGACCAGACAACCCACAGAGTGGGACAAAATTTATGCCAGCTGTTCTTCAGACAAAGGACTAATATCTAGAATATATAAAGAACTGGAAAAAATCATACCCTCCAAATGCAAAGACCCAATCTAAAAAAAAAAAAAAAAAAAAAAATGAGCATCTGAATTAAATAGACATGTCTCAGAAGAAGTACAAATGGCAAATAAATATGTGAAAAAATGTTCAAAATAATTTGAGAAATGCAAATTAAAACTATGCTGAAATGCCATCTCACTCCAGAAAGAATGACTATTATCAAGAAAACAACCAATAACAAATGCTCGAGGAGCTGTAGGAGAAAAAGAACACTTCTCTATTGTTGATGGGAGTGTAGACTGGTGCAACAATTGTGGAAATTAGTGTGGAGATTTTTCAAAAAAACTAAGATAAGTGGTCCCATTTGCCCCAGCTATCCCCCCTTCTGTTATCTTCTCAAAAGGATTAAAAGCATCATACTAATGTGAAAGAATTTTGTCAGCAGAGGGCTGCAATAATATTGTAGCAAAATAGAAGCAGGGTGCACTTCAACAACAGGAGAGACTTTTGGCTTTGTTTTCACATGTTTTACAGGGCAGTGAGGCACGGAGAACCAGGCTATGAAAATTGACCCACTTTCACAAAAAGTCTTAGGAGAAAGAACATGTCCCTCATTCCTCTTTGTCTGGAATATCTCTCTTTTGACTGTTGGAAGGGAGGAACTACTCTCTGGATCTTTATCCTATTTTGCTAAATTTTCCCAATACTCTTTGTAAGGCACCAACCACATCCTTATTCCTCAAACTGTAGATTAAGGGGTTAAGCATCGGGGTCACTATGGCATAGAAGAGGGCAACCATCTTCTCCTGTTCTGCAGAGGAGCCACCCATGGGTCTCATGTATGTGAAGATGGCAGTGCCAAAACACATGGACACAACGGTGAGGTGGGAGGTGCAGGTCCCAAAGGCTTTGCGGCGTCCCTGGGCAGAGCGAATGTGCAGAACGGTGGCAACTATATGAGCATAGGAGAACAGGACCAGAAAGCAGGGCAGCATGATCACCAGAAATCCTGAGATGGCCACCATGATCTTGTTGAAGGTGATGTCTGCACAGGCCAGCCTCAGCACAGCCAGCATCTCACAGGCAAAGTGATTAATGATGTGACCACACAGGGGTAACTGGAAGATGATGATTGTCTGCATCAGCGAATTCATGACACCGGCCACCAGGCAGCCAGCACCTAGGCCAAGACACAGCCCGCCATGCATGATGACTGTGTAGTGCAGCGGGTGGCACACTGCCACATAGCGGTCATAGGCCATGGTCCCCAGCAGGAAGAACTCTGTGCTGCCCATTGCTAGGGACACGTAGAGCTGAAGCACGCAGCCGTGGAAAGAGATGGACTTCCGGGATGACAGGAAGTGAACAAGCATCTGTGGTACAGTGCTGTTGGTATAACAGATGTCCACAAACGACAGGACACTGAGGAAAAAGTACATGGGTGTATGGAGCCTGCTGTCCAGCCTGATGAGGAGGAGGAGGAGGAAGTTCCCCAGCACAGTCAGGAGATACATGGTCAAAAACAGGACAAAGAGGGAGACCTGAGTGTGCCAGTCACTGGAGAGGCCCAGCAGGGTGAACTCACTCATCCATGTTTGGTTGTTCCTGCCCATGAGCCCCTGAGGACCAAGTCCAAGTAATGCATCAATAAATAGCAGAGCATAATTGACCAAAACCTTTCTTATCTCCTTCTCTAAGTGGGGAAGGTGTTATTAGAATGTCTAGGTGTTTGAGGTTAAAAGATTAACTACAAAACTTCACCTTCTTCTAGACACCTAATACCTAACCATGGTGTTTGTTCATTTCTTTGTTGGAAACCAGTTTTCTTCTACTTATACCTGAGAATCCAAAGTGAATTACCCAGCAGTTACCCACAGTTTTATATAAGTTTACTTTTTTTTTTTTAACCTCTGGATGCTCTAATTACTAACACATGATGTTCAATTTCCATTCTTCTATAATCAGAAATTTGGGATATCAACTTACAAAATAGCAAATTTAATAGATTTTTAAAGGGTAAGAAATGTACCAAATCACACTTTAGAAAGATAAAAACATTAAAATCTGAGTGACCATGTTCATTCTTCATAAAAGAGCATGTGGAAAGATAAGAACAAATCACCCCCAATTTATGTTCTTTCTCCTTCATTAGAGTGGCAAAGAATGGTCTGCCACAGGATATGCCTGTCCAAAAAAATGAAGTCCAATGTTGCCTTTGCCATCTTCTGTGGTAAATGATGTGAACTCCAGCACCCATCCCAGACATTAGCTTATTAACTAAGAGCTAATGGGAATCTTGCTGCCCTTCCTTGCCGATCCTATTTGTATGTGTCCTGAATAGTGATGGGGTTTGGAGCCCAGGATTTGATAAGAAATAATCACTAGAATTAACTCACGGAAGCAACTGCTGATTTTCGCTTTCTCATAACTACTTTTATCCTTATTCCCATTTCAAATGTATTTGACCCTGTCATTCTTTTGGAGAACTTTGTCTTTCATATCTCCGAGCTGATCTGTCTTGACTTTGACTCCTGCCACCACAGGATAGGAATCAAGTTTGCTCCATTTGGTCTCCAAACTTTCTAACCTTGATGATGTACTAGTGTTTCAGAAAGTTCAAGGGGTCTGTTTTCAGAAAAACACTTTGGAAATCTTAATCATCTTGGGTTTGCATTTCATCTGAATGACAGAGGATTTCCAAGAGCCTCCCAGATTGGACAAAGTTTACTCTCAACTTCTCATTTCTTCCTCTGTACTTCTCATTACTCTGCACTGTACAGACATAACATGGGACCACACACAGCTGTCCCAGGCAGATATATGATCTTCCTGCCATCTTTGAGCAGGTATGGTCACTAAATATATGATGAGGATTGGACTTTGTGTTGAATGTGCTCATAATAGTAAGGGCCATAAAGCTACATGAGGATCAGTAAGGTGCTGGACTTTCATTTTTGGCTGCAGACAAAAGCCTGTAGGTCTGTGCCTAAGCATCCTTACCTCATCTGTGAATAAATCCATCTCAGTAAATCACTCTAACCTAAGATAATTCACGTGACATACAAGGGGAAGTGTTCCTGAATTCTTTAGAAGTTGCTCCGGAACTTTAAAAGATTAGCAAGTCATATTGTAATATTTCCAGAAAAAACAGGATACTAACCATTTTAACCCTTATTGAAAAATGAAAAGTTGAAATATGAAATCATCAGTGGTAGGCCTCTGACACTGCAGATACAAAAGCAAGAGACAAGGAAAAAGTAGGGCATGAGATACCTCAATGGAACTTGACTATAAACAGTCACTATTTGAGAAATGAATGAGATAGTTTCTAGTTGTTCCATAGGAAACAACTAATGTGAAAGAATTTTGTCAGCAGAGGGCTGCAATAACAGTATAGCAAAAAAGATATATGATTAGTTAACGTTTACCTGGCATTAAGTAAAGGAACTGTTGAAAATTCTCACTGATATTAATACCTTGGAATTTTGAGGCTTTCACTTCTTCAAAAATAATGTTAAAGAATTGACAGTGAAAATGTAATTCCTGATCTTTGGCCAGTAATTTCCCTTAAAGCCTCTGGAAGTTGCTTATAGAGCACCCTTCCCAGTCCTCATCATGGCCCAGGAAGTTTATATTTGTAATCCCATGGAAAAATTATTGAAATTCTAGTGAGCTAATTCCAACCTACCACTTCTGGTGCAACCCATGAGGAAAATAAAGACATTAAGGCATGTTTGTAGTTACAGAGGCAAGGAGTCCTAAGTCCAGCCCGAATAATGGCTATGTGGAACAAAGGCCCCAACCCAGGCCCGAACCTGGGTTTTATTAATTCCTGAAGAAAGGAGTGGAAGATGAGTGACTCCTTGAAGATGAGTGACTGTGAGAATGGTGAAGTAGGTGAGTGCTGTGAGCTGGGATAGGTAGGAGGCCCAAAATCACCTCTGTAATATGCAAGGAGAAGGATATGCAGAAAGAGTGATCTGCATAACACAATTGAGATAATATCTAATGTTTTGGGGTCAGTGCTTCAGCTCTGATGTGTAATCTTTCAAGCCCCAGGAAGACATAGTTTCTTACCTTGAGGCACGATCCAAGCCAACAGTGTGGAGCACTGACTCAAACATTCCAGCTCATCCTGGCTCACACAAGGCAACAACGTGGGGTCCATGGAAACACTCCCTGTCATCTTCAAAGACTACTATCGGCACCTCACCTGAACCTACATACTGAAAGCCAATTGAAGGGATAAGGAAAAGTCCCAGCCAGCTCTATATACATCAATACCTGGAAATTGGTTCAGGCTCAGCCAGAAAGAAGACGGTTGCTCCTCCTTCAAGGAGAATCACCCAGGTGGTCCTCCATAGTTACTGATTAGAGACAGAATACAAAAATTCAGTGACCTGTTTAAAAGGAGCAAATATTAAGTTGGTTCTAATTCACTCGAGGTACAAAGGGACAATAAAGGCATAGGAATATGACACCAATATTAGAAAATAATTTTGTAAGAAAAACAAGACAAAATAATACAAAATTTCTGAAATATTTCTTGAAAAATTAATACTGGTAAGCAAATAAATCTTAACAGATTTTCAAAAGTAAAATGGCAAGGTTGTAGCTGATAATAATAGTAAAATTAACAAGAGTTTCTGTGGCTTTTCTTCTTGGAAATAATGACTGTGGTCACAGATTGCATTTTCTCAACAAACAAAGTCACATGAAAAGCTTGGACTATCCCAGAAATAGTAATTGGTTGAATTGTCCTTCCCACCCATCCTTACTTCCCTGTAGTACTGATATATACCTGCTGCTGGCAATGATAGAATGATTATAGCCCATCATTCAAGTAAAGTTACCTTCTACTCAGCAAAATTTAACAATGGCAGCACAAACCTGTCCTCTGATCCATAAACCAAAAGTCAATGGGTGTCTTTTTATCCTTATTGTATTATCTTCCCTTCTTGGTTAAGGACTTGACAAAGGAAATGTCTTCCCATCCTTCCTTCTCTGAATATTATCCTCACTTCCTCCCTTGTGCCAGTGAAGTAGGACAGACCTGTATATATGATCCCTTCTGTCAGACCCAGAAAGGTCATTACTGTAACTCAACCTGGTGATTCTTGTGAAGGCAGCCAAAATAGCCGAAAGGAATCACTTCTCAGTTTGGCTACAGAAAATGTGTCTTCTTAGAATCAGTTGGCAAAGGTGGATCTATATCTCTTCAGTATCCACATTCAGTCCAGTTGCCATGTGAGGTTTAAGAGTCTAGGAAGAGTCTGTGTGTTGAGGAGACCCAGGTTCCAAGGCTTCTGGTCTCAAGATACGCTCATAAGTGTCTGAACATGGCCAGCTGATCTCTAGAACAGGAGGCCAGCCCTGCTCCAGGTGATGGAAGGCTGGCCAAGGTGTGAGATGTAGAAGAAATAACTTTCCTCTCCCTCAGAGATAGAATCTCTACAGGCCAATTATGCTGTGCTTGTTAGTCTTCTGCTACCTTTTCACCTTCATTTTCTTTTTCATTTTTAAACCTCCATTTTTTTCCCTCTTTCATGAATTTCTATGTAGTTATTTCCTTCCTTTAAAGTGTCACATACATTTAAGAGACTTTAAAAATGATACTGTAGTTTTTTTATTAACCCAGAAACTTGAGAAGAGAAGCCACAAAGGCCCATATTCCCAGGAAGCAGTTCTCAGTGTTTGTTGAAGTTTTCTTTGGAGGAAGTTATAACTCACCTGAGACTTTTTCTCCACACATTCATGATTTAGAATATTTGACCCAGTGTGCACAATTATTCATATGGCCATGTACAGTAACATTGAGTAATATGTTACATTGAGTATATTCAATGTAACATTACATTGAATATATACATGATTTATGATCAAATTATTGTGTCACAACTGATACAAATATATTGTGGGACTTTCCCCCTTTCTGAATCACTATGAAAGATTCCTTTTTAACTAGGCATTGAAAAATTATTTAATTTTTAAAAATTTATCCAGAGGTGTGCCTTCGTACTCTGCACATACTACAGAAATTACTCTTTTAAAGTGTCTGTAATTATAAAGTCCTTTTACTGACTAAAACTTGGATTAACTCTAATATGTAGCACTTATCAAAATACCATGAGTATTCATACATACAAACTCATCATTTGTCCAATACAGGTGCCCATTTTTGCTGTGCAGTAGTGTAATTGCTGTATGACAGGTATGACCATTAATCCTGGCATGTCAACTTGAGTGGATTAAGAATCCCCTAGAAGATTAGCAGAGCATAGTTTTTTTTGGGGTCCCTGGTGGGTCACAGAAGGATGACCTTGATTACTATGTATGATGTCTGCCCCTTTTCCTCTCTAGCATATTGTTTCCCTGCTCTGTGTCTCAGCTGCCATAAACTGAGCATCCTTTCTCCACCATATTCTTCTGCCATTATGTTTCTCTGCTTTGGAGACAGCTGACCATGGACTGAATCTCCTAAATCTGTGAGCCAAATTAAACCTCTCCTTCAAATTATCAGCATTGGGTATTGTGTGCCAGCCATGAGAGAGCTAATGTAGAAAACTGATAAAGGAATAGTGAGGTCATTGCTGCGGTTCAGAAGCCTTTGGAC